TGTATTAAACAATTATGGAAACAATTGCTAAATCAGTGGATATGACTCCAATAGCATATAATGAGTAAAATAATGTAAATCTTTTTTATTATAAATACAAAGATACCAAATAAATGTAATACACAGTGGTTATTAAAATGTAGACTTATAACTTAAATCACACTTTCTTGGGAAGTTTTTAATTTTTTACATTCATTGACCACTAATTAGTTTTATAAATAGAAAATGGAAACAAAATAGATGTACAGTAGTTGTAATAAATCAAAGAAATATTGATTAATATAGAGATTTTATTGTCACAAAAAAGTTATTTATAAAAATGTTTGGATTTATAACTAAAGTGTGGTTAAGATTCAAAGTAAACTCCGTTCGGACAACTCATGCATCAGTGTATTCTTCTTGGGCTTAAACTCCTTGGACTCCAAAGCTGTCGATAAGACCTTTTCGGGGAACTCCTTCTCGTAGAAGTCGGGAACCTTGATGTCCTGGCCCTCCATTCCCTCCAATCGTTTAGTGACTATTCTGACGGACGTATTGCCCCTCACTTTGCGCTCGAAATCGATGAGCTGTTGGAAGAACGAGGGGTTCGGTTGAGACATATCGCGACGACTCTTGCAGTGAAGGAAAGCCTCTTTTAAAGACATTTGTTTGTGTTTTATTAAGTAAGCTATCAATGAATGGTTCAGACAATCAATGGATTAGTTCTTTGGATCAATCAATGGATCAATGGTTGTTAGAAAGCGTACCCAAGACCAGAGTACAGGAGCGACTGATTCCGGCCACACAATGGACTATTGCTATACCTTTATGTTGTGTCACGTCATGCAGTTTGTCTGCGACCTCATCCATGTATGGACTCAAGTCGTCTTCGGTGCTGTCGTCCACCTATGAAGTCAATCAAACGGCTCTTCATGTCTGGCATACGGTATAAACACTTACGGGAACTCTAATGGATTCGATGCCATCGATGGCATAATTGGGTGCCTCGAAGGTGACGTTAATAATGCAAGTGGTCTTCAGACTTAAGATGTTCTCCCTGACCAGTCCTCCCACTCAGAGTGGGAGGACTGGTCAGGGAGAACATCTTAAGTCTGAAGACCACTTGCATTATTAACGTCACCTTCGAGGCACCCAATTATGCCATCGATGGCATCGAATCCATTAGAGTTCCCGTAAGTGTTTAGACCGTATGTCAGACATCAATAGCCATTTGATTGACTTCATAGGTGGACGACAGCACCGAAGACGACTTGAGTCCATACATGGATGAGGTCGCAGACAAACTGCAAGACGTGACACAACATAAAGGTATAGCAATAGTTCATTGTGTGGCCGGAATCAGTCGCTCCTGTACTCTGGTCTTGGGTACGCTTCCTAACAACCATTGATCCATTGAGTGATCCAAAGAACTAATCCATTGATTGTCTGAACCATTCATTGATAGCTTACTTAATAAAACACAAACAAATGTCTTTAAAAGAGGCTTTCCTTCACTGCAAGAGTCGTCGAGATATGTCTCAACCGAACCCCTCGTTCTTCCAACAGCTCATCGATTTCGAGCGCAAAGTGAGGGGCAATACGTCCGTCAGAATAGTCACTAAGCGATTGGAGGGAATGGAGGGACAGGACATAAAGGTTCCCGACTTCTACGAGAAGGACTTCCCCGAAAAGGTCTTATCGACAGCTTTGGAGTCCAAGGAGTTTAAGCCCAAGAAGAATACACTGATGCATGAGTTGTCCGAACGGAGTTTACTTTGAATCTTAGCCACACTTTTAGTTATAAATCCAAACATTTTTATAAATAGCTTTTTTGTGACAATAAAATCTCTATATTAATCAATATTTCTTCGTTTTATTACAACTACTGTACATCTATTTTGTTTCCATTTTTATTTATTAAACTAATTAGTGGTCAATGGATGTAGAAAATTAAAAACTTCCCAAGAAAGTGTGATTTAAGTTATAAGACTACATTTTAATAACATGACACATAATGTAAATAAACCATAGAAACATAAATATTATTTTTTCTAAATGTAATAAAATGAGTAATATACGATAACCTCAGTATAGGTGACTAAATCGTTAACAAAGGTATTAACAAATTATGTGTAATACATATTTATTTAGTATAGTATAGTAGTTTATAGTACTGTATAATGGAATAATGCAGTAGTTAATTAAAAAATATATTTAATTGACATAGGTATGGTAAATAAGCTATTTGGCATCATAGTAAGTAAATATTAATATTTTCATATGCTTCCAATGCATTATTTTTAATACATACTGTAGTATACAGTAATATTAAAATGTTAATTTCATTAATGAATTTAATAATTCACATAGAATTCAAATTAAGATATTTATATTATCTGATTTTAAAAAAAGTTATTAACAATAATATACATTACAAAAGGCAAACATAAAAAACTTCTATGATTCTTATACAATATAATACAAAAATATATTTATATTATATTTTAACAAAACAACTTATTTTTTAGTTTCACTGCAGTAAGCTAATGAAATGGTAGCATGAAAGTTTAATGAAATATATTACAGAATATTTCCATTGTCTGTAATCTTATATTCAATGTCTTTATATAATATTTATACAATTCGTAAACTAATACTAAACATACACAGCAATAAACAAATTGAAATCTATTGACATGATGTTTGGCTAATGGGTGGACTCATTAATGTTTTCGATATTAATAACAATTATTGTTTAACTAAAAGTATACTTAAGTAGCCAATCCTTTGAAACTTACAAACAAATAGTCAGTTGAATGATTAACTATCACGAAATATGTTGAGCACTTTGTACGAGCTATAAGAGCCGGTCATTACTTATCATTTCAATCCATAAGTCACTTCCTAAGTGTTGCAGATGTGATCATCTTTGAATGAAATGCATTTCATTTTCTGGTTCACAAGTTATCTGTTTTTATTAATCCTAATCTATTTGGGGACCACATTAACCGGTAGTGTATTCAGAGCCAGAATTGTGGGCATATTTGTGGCCGATTCTGAACTGCCATATACTCTGGAATTAGCCAAACCTTCCATTGATATCGCTATTCAAAAGGTTTGCAAACTCAACACATTTTTGACACATTTCTGAGTTAGAAATTCTGACCCATATTTATGAGTCACAAAATGATCTCGTTATTTGTTATGAATCAAATTAATGTATAAACTACAGTTGGTTTAAAAATAAACTATGGATATTATATAAAATTAAAAATTACATTATAATTTAGGCAAAGACATTGTTTCCGTTGATAGCCTGGGATGAGCCGGTATTTCGTAACGGTTCCAACAGATGTACCTCTAATTTTGCCGGTGTTTTTGCTGCAGAGGAATACTATCTACGAAGAGTCACTGTATTCATAGGTCCTTCATGGTATGTATTAAACTTGGTCACTAAAATAATATATATACTATATATATATATATTGATATATACTGTTGATTGGTTTAGTGGGTTAGCATTAGACCCGGTGGCCAGAATGGCTGCCCATTGGAATATTCCTGTGATCAGTTCCGGGGGCACTAATGTCCAGTTCTCTAACAAACAAATCTTCTCAACACTTACCCGGTTTGTCACATATGTTTGCAATCATTTCATTGAATTCTTATAAAAAATATTTTCAAAAATAGATTATCGTTTTCGTTGAAAAATTTGGGCTCATTTTTTGTGCAAATCCTGAAACTATTTTTGTGGAAAAACATCGCTGTTATAGTCCACGAAACTTCTTCGTCGACATTAATTCCGTTGATTAGGAGATCACTTGTCGACGCTTTGGACCCTATTATGGATATAGGAGTGGATGTCCATGAAATCAGTCGTATTCCGGCTAAAGTTAATCTCAAGAATATTCTCATTCAATGCTCCAAAGAATCGAGAAGTCATTTATATTTATTTTCATTTGTAACTTATAATAGAATATCATGTAAAAACACATATACCGTAATAGTAACAAGTTCATTTTTGTTATATTTGTGTTGAAATAGTAATTTTGATGTTAGCTTATGGAGAGACTGTGCGACAGCTATTACTGACTGCATTTGACCTGAATATGAGAGACTATGTCTTCTTGACGGTCGAGCTCTTCAAACATCACAAATCATTTGGCAATTTTGATTGGTATGTGGCCGGGGATCCCAGGAATCAGGTTATTATAATATATTATACACTTTAAATTGGGGATTTAAAAAATTAAAATTACAAAAATTGCATTACTTAAATTAAATAAATTACAGTTAATTACACTGATAAAAAATATAAATTACATAAATTACTGTAATTAATTTTTAATTCCTACTGTTCATAAATTAATCCATACAATAATAAGTTACAATTTATCCTAGTAAATTTTTAAATGATTAAGGTTATAAAAATATCTCGATTCTTATAATAGATTCAAATGATATTCTTATAATAAATGTCAGCAATTCTTTAATATTCAGGTAATTATTGTTTTTATAAAAGGATGCAAAAGTGATGTATGAGTCCCTAATGGTGCTGACAGTACACGTGCCGACCACTGATGATTACGACCTCTTCACCAAACAAGTGATCGAAAAGTCTCGAAATGAGTTCAACACCTCTTTCAATAAGAGTGATGTGAATGTAGTTTTGGCCGGTTTTCACGACTCAGTCCTACTCTATGGTCAGGCACTCACCGAAACTCTTGAGGACTCCGGTAACCCTTTGGACGGATACTCTATATCACGACGTCTGTGGAACCGATCGTTTTCAGGTTTATTCTTTAAACACGACTTTATTTGAAAGTTTTTATTTAAATTTATTTATCGTTAATTGTATTATAAATTGAAGACTTTCTTAGTGGCGATCATTATATCGATGAAAACGGCGATAAAGAGACTGATTATACACTCAATGATTTTGATATAATATCAAATCAGATGAAAGTAATTTAAATTTAGTATTTTGCTTATTTAAAGCTAATTATTTTTAACAATTTTCAGCCGGTTCTATATTATTCCGGACTTTACGATAAGATTGTATTGTCCAATACGAGTGCAATCCATTGGCCCAATGGGTATATACCTGACTCGAGAGCACCGTACTGTCAATTTGGAGATTACCCCGAGTGTAAACCAGGTTTATGAAATCTAAACAAGGTTTATCTAAATATTACTTATACTAATATTTGGTTAATGACATATAGATTATAGTTTCGTTATATACGTCGAGATACTTGGCATAATAGTCACCTTTTGTGCGATCATTACAATTGTATTTTTCGTAATCTATAGGTAATTAATAATCAATAGACAATTATATGTGAAAAATTGTATTCAATAATTATGGTAATGAATGCATTTTCAAGAAAACTAAAATTGGAAACAGAATTGCAGTCAAACTGGTGGACAGTTAAGTGGAATGACATCACATTTATTGAAAATAACGACAAATCTTTAGAAGCGAGTCCTCAGTTTAATTTGATGCGAGGTCAGTTTGAAAGTAACCCTCAATCAACGGGGGATCACAACAAATTAAACCTCACTACCTATAACTGGCACATTAGTGCCAGGGCTGGTGATCCCACTCACACTCATATTCCCAGAAAAGGCTTATATAAAGTAATTGTATTTAAATTATCACTATTTAAACAATTGATAAAATTTTTTATTCCTAACTACTTTAAATGATGATAATAATACTACAGGGCATTAAAGTCTCCATAAAACCACTTAACATAAGACATTTGGCTATAAATCGAGAGATATTATTGGAGCTAAAAGTGATCCGCGATTTAGTTCACGAGAATCTGATTCGTATGATTGGTTTGTGTCCCGAAGAGCCCTTCATTAGCAGTAAGTTTTTAGCAGTCATTTAGTCGTTAATGTCTTTAATTTTTATATTTTATTAATTATTAATTATTTATTTCTATGTATAGTATTGACTGAATATTGCGAGAAAGGAAGTCTTCGGGTAATACAGAGTATAGAAAATATACTGAAAGTTAAAGTTTTATATATGGATCAGGAATTACTGGACAATGAGGGCATACGCATAGACTGGCCGTTCAAATATTCACTGATCAGTGATGTGGTCGAAGGCATGCATTA